CCGTGAGGGGCTGGTGCTATGAGACTTGGGTGGCATCTCTGACTGCCACCCCCCTGACCCAGAAATGGATTAAAGGGAAGAAAATGGATGGATGTGGTTATTTATTATTTTAATCCCGTGTGTGCTTTTAATGTTTTAAGGTTTTTTCATTACTTGTGATTTTTATTCTGTTTTTAATGTATTTATTGTTTGTATATGTAGTTTTTGATGTTTCTGATTTGTCTGATATTATGTGGGTTGTGAGGCGCTTTGAGTGGCCTTGTGTTGGAAAGGCGCCATACAAATAAAGTTGATTGATTGATTGATATTCAAGTGAAAATGTTATCCTATGAGTACAATATTGGAGGATTTTACATCTATAACCAGAGCAGACAGCACAAAAATGCAGCTCCATAGAATCCCATATAAAGTCATCAATAATCATAATAATCACAATTAGTTTTTTGTGTCATGATTAAAAATTTAGATTCAGAGATTCTTTATTCCTAAATGGAGATATTTCAGTGTTGCATCACCAGTTACACAACAGTAGAGAAGCACACAGCACAAGACAATAACTCTTTAATACGATAAAATATCTGAAACATTAGCATATTAAAAAAGCAAGTCTAAAATCTCCAACTTTAGCGTAAGGAAGAAGCAAGAGTTATGTTTAAAAACACTTGATCAACACGTCTGCATTTTAAAACTCATTCTTCCCAAATCAACGCTCGGATAGAATGAAACAAAATAAACGAATGTGTTCCTTCAAATGTTGAGTGAATTTAAGAGCCTGAAGTTTTGCGGTGTGGTGAAGGAAAGCCGTTCTGGCAGCTGCATGGGAGATGAGGGCCTTTTCCCTAAATGATGCATGTCTAGTTTGCGCTCAGCCTAAATTTAAAAGCAGGATTCACTCAAGACAAGGTCCTACATTTGAAAAAGAGCTGGAGCGATTCAAGTTATTCTGTACTGGGAACTTCAGCCAGCAGAAAATATGAGTCTCATAAATATTCCATCAGGATTTGTTTTAGTTTGGCATTGCAAAACTTTGATTTTTGCCGTGCCTTCTGGAATCGGACTAAAGCACAGCAGAGGTGAATTGGTATCGTATCTGTGGTTTCTTTTCATGGCATTAGTTTTAGTCTGTCTACATGCATCAGGGGCGTGATTGTATTTTCAGTTCTTAATTAAGCGGCAAGTGGGATGCTCCAATAATTGTACGATACAGTTCAGCCGCTGGAAGGTAAATTCAGCAGTCGAGCAGTAAAAGGATGGAGCCGGGGAGATGTACTCAGACAACCTTTCTTTCCTGGGGGCTCCGGGAAGTAGTCTCTCCGTTTCACAGAAAAGTAAGACAAAAACAGCAGTAAACTGTTGCAAAGGGGCTCTGGAACATGGATCAGTCTGTCTGTGGCCTCCAGGACGGACAAATGGCTTTAGTCGCCGTGTCTACTCCAGCTTCAGTATGATTTTGTCCCTTTTTGAAGAGAAAATTCACACTTTAATAACATTACAAGATTTATGCGAGACTCAACCTGCGTCTAGGGCCTCTATCCGGAGCAATGGTCGCTGTAGTACCATGGGGACCCACCTCCAGAGGTTGATCCTAGGCTTGGTCAGGGCTACCAGAACGGAAGTATTTTACCTAATCATGTTTTTACTGGTAGAGGAAAGTAGTAATAGTAATCTTTATATAAATAAAGATTACTATTACTACTACTCATAATTTACTCACTTCAATAATAATCTAAAGGGAAGTTTTTGCTTTTGTTTTGAGAATGCATTTTAATTCTGGCCACCTTTCTTTATGATTGCATGTGCCAATGTAACCCTGACAATTAGAACACCGTTTGTCTTATTCAACTTAAAATGTGAAACCAATATATGATATACAGAGTGATCTACATAGTATCAACATAACTTATAAAAGCTCAATGTTTGTCTTTTTGCATGTAATGAGTCAGTCATATATTAGTTTCATATTGTAAGATGAATTACAGATCTAAATGGACTTTTGAACTCGATTCTATATTCAGTTTCACCTGAAAATATGTAATTCGCAAACGTTTGACCAATTGGGTCATGAGTACACTCCGTTCAATCATCATTTCACTGCATGTAACGTCTGGGTCTGGTCCCTGAGTTAGCGATTACAAACGGTTGAATTTCAACCGACCATTCAGAGAGCGCGGAAGGCGGGTGTTGTCGTTATTTGTGGGTGATGTCAAGAGTTTGCATCGAACGGGCAGGTTGTAGTTTGGCAATGGAGAAAAATGCGATGGTAAAGTAATCTGGTCTGGTTCTATCAAGAAATTGAAGCCGGAGCAAGAGGAATGTTTAGCAAATGTAATCGCTGGAAAAAAAATGTGGCGCTACTCCCTACGGGCTCCGTTAGCGGCAAAGGAGATGGCTAGGCTAAATGCTAAATGCTAACAACAAACTCGGGCACATTACATACGTCACGGTATACTCAGATCCAATCGTTTCAATCTGCAAAAGGAGTTAACCCCTCCCACCTGTTAACAGAGCTCAAAGGAGCACCTCCAGACCTTAGTACATTTGTACTATGGTGTGGTACGACCAGGCTAGGGCATGAGTTATGTGTAGACAAATTATGGACTAGGGAAGAAGGATCGCTATCACACTATCAATTGTTTTTGGTCAAAGCATTCCCCATCACCAACTGTGTCAGCTGATGTTCCTCCATGAATTCATATATATTTGTCACTTCTGGTAAATGGACACACCACTTCTGTACCTCCACTATCCTAAGGCTACCTGTCTCTTTGCAAATTGATTAAGCGATCGTGTCGAGCTCAAAAAGCAACCAGACAGATGTATGCAACCTAAGCGTACCCATATATTTTGTCTTCAAAATGTCATGGGTGCCAAATTTAGAATCCTGCGGATTTGTTGCGCCGGCAAGTCAATATTTGTCTGCTTCCCCAGACATCCCCACGGTTTTTCGACGCAGTGGACCGTAAAGCTGTCAGAGGCGACCTGAATATTCTGTCTTCATCCTTTTCCTCGGCCGCTCTCTCCGCCTCTCTCTCCTCGCCTCCCTTTGATTTCTCCTTCCCCTTCCGTCAATAACAATTTCATCAGGAGCACGCGGGGCCTGTTTGCAGAGGGAAAAAACAAGATCATCGTCTCTTATCTGCTGCCATAAAGACATTGAGTTTGGTCGCAGCGTAGAGTACATTATGTATGTTCTACGTAGTGTTTGCCGAGTGCAGATTGATATCATTTTTCATATTCCAGACAGCAGCACCAGTCTTTTTGTAAGCGACTCATGCCTGGAGATATTTGGCTTTTCAAACGTGGCAGACTCTAATTTAGGTTCATTTCTGAATGGAAAAAGCCAGCTTCGTCTCGGTACATGGTGTGAACTGTTATTGTGCTCTTGTAATATAACCTTAAGGGGTGAAAGCGGTTTGTAATCATTTAAGGATGAAGAAAGCTTGAAACTTGAAACTGAGATTATGGAGCAAAAATAGTCCATATTACAATTTGATCAGTTGTTATTGTGGAATTCATCGTTTTGTAAAAGCGTGCATGACTTTTGCTCTGCACTTATCTTTCCTTACATCGCCAGTTTAGTTTCAGCTGGAGACAGGTATAATGGTGATTATAAAATATTATTAGCTTGTACTACTTAAATGATCGTGTGACTAATGTATGCAGTGAATCTGAAATAATCTTGAAAGGATCTTCCCCCAAAATAAATTCAAATATGTTCAGTTCAGCTCAGTTGGTAGAGCAGTGGCCTTTGGGCCTGGAGGTCGTGAGTTCGATTCTCACCATGGGACCTACTCCAACTGCTCCCATTGATGTCTACAGTCGTTGTGTCCTTGGGCAAGACACTTAACCCCACGTTGCCTGAAGCCCCCGCTGAAAGACCAAGGCTGTTTCACCACTGATGGAGCGGCCATCTTCCTGTGGACCCACCCCCTGCAGAGGATCAGCGAGGGACTGGTGCTATGAGCATTGGGTGGCAGCTCTCATTGCCCCCCCCCCTGACCCAGAAATGGACTAATCAAGGGGTTGAAAGTGAAATGAAATATCAGTTCACTATTTTTAACAAAGAAAAGCAAGAATGTAATTTTACAAAGGTACAACTAAGAGCGTTAATAGTTTTTTGTGTTCATATTTGTATGAGTCTAAAACAGGGGTTCCCAAAGTGACTCCCATTGATGTATACTCTGATACAATTCATCCATCCATTTTCTTCCCCTTAATCCATTTCTAGGTCGGGGGGGTGGCCAGAGCTGCACCCAGTCCACAGAGCACCAGCCCCTCACTGATCCTCCTGCAGGTGCTGAGTCCACAGGAGCGTTATATAATTTAGTATAGCAATAATATGAAGCATCAAAACGGCCTCAACAAAACGGGTAAACCAGGGCCATGTGCTCGCTGTGGTGGCTCCGAAGGCAGTACTGATGCCTGAGGGGTCGAGAGGTGTGGATGTGGAAGAATGGGTGTGTGATCGGAACTTCTTCAGTCAACAACGACCTCGGAGGAGATGGTTTACGGCTATAGATAGAATAATGTGAAGCATCAAAAAATGCTAAATTTATGTTATTTGAGTCATTAAAAGTCCTATTAGTACAGATTGTCTCCTGCAACCCCCACTTTCATACACTGATCTAAAAGACTGTTGTTATACTATTTAATCTTTCTAACAAATTTACAAAACTTGCAATGCTAGCCTTGTTCAACATCCAACCTTTTTTTGCTGTAATCCCAAAATTATAAAATTATGGTTCTTATCGTTTGCTGTGGTCAAGGCTGTCCACACAATTCTTGAACTTCATTACTGCTCAATCTCCCTCCTGTCTGCTCCTTCCTCCTGGCCGTGTTATGACTCCTGTCTGCACTCAGCCTTCTCCCAGCCCTGTAAACGTTTGCGACAAGTGGGCATACCCTTCATTACATCCTTAAACGGAAGACCCCCGCCCCCACCGTCCCCACGCAGCCTTCCATGTACTACCTGTCTGTGTACCGGAGCCACTTATTATTCGCTACAGCAGCTGGCTCGGGGCCCAGACTGCCTTGATAACTTCGCCGGCGAGGTCCTGGCTGGCTGACGGGTGAGGGAGGGGGAGGAGGGGGCTCGACACCTCCTCCACGCAATGCCGGGTACAGGCAGTTCTGCTCCATGCGTCCCCTTCTGCTTTTTTTCCCCCGTCTCCGCTCTCCCTTTTCTGCCTGTCCTCTTCAATTGGCAAGCTGTGTGCTGCCATGGTGCTGATAAGGGGCCGGTGTAAATAAAACTGTACAGCGCGGCTTGTTAGACGGTGGAGAGGCAGGGGGGGAGTGGGGGGAGTGCTGTCTGTACTTATTGTTCTGACAGCGTCTACCGCGTCTGGGCACGTGCACTGCCGGCTGCTGCTGATGCGCTCGGTGCGTGGCGGCGGCCGTGGACGTGTTTGTGCGGAGTTCTCACTGTTGCTTCTGGCTGTTGTGTTTATACAAAGGGACGGTAATGCAACAGGTGGACACTTGCAGGGATCTAATGTGCACTGAAAAATATGTTGGAAAGTACTTTATTATGATCAAGTCAGAGATTTACGTAACGTAATTCTAGCTACTTTGTTATGCTAGATTTAGAGATTTTGGTTATTGTTCATGTATCTTTTGCTGTATGCAACACTCCCCGCAGTGGGACGAATAAAGGATCTCTTTATCTTAATCTTAGAAGTAAGTGGTATTTTAGCCTGGTTTGAGTGTTTGAGTGTTTGAGCTTTGCCAATGGAACCAGCGTGTGAAACCTCATTTACAACCAACAATTTTTCTTTTGAAATGAGAAAATGGTGCTCCGCTTAAGACTAAATATGTATTTGTTCCGCAAATCTTATTTTAAGGCAGTCAAAATACACTCAAACCCTGATACTTTTATCTACTTTTTTTTAGAGTCAATTTTTTAAATGTTACTAAAGCGATGATGACTATACACTACTGCTTTTATTGCCATTACATCTGCTGTAAGACAACTATAAGCAAACCTCTCTCTCTCCATGTATTATTAACTGCATAACCTCAATATATTTTATTTTAATTTAAGATTAATTGGCAAATGCCAATTCAATACTCCCCTCATACAAAAAAATATATACAAATAACTATTCTTAATATATTCATAAACTTGTATGACTTTAATCGCACATCCACCACACTCCACTCACTACAAAAGTCTCTTCATATCACTGACTGCTTTGCCGTACCATTGAGACTATGAAGATGGATAGTGTTTAGCTTTGGGAGCACGCAGCTGTCCTCTCTGGTATAGTCATCCAAGCGTGTGTGTGTGTGTGTGTGTGTGTGTGTGTGTGTGCGTGTGTGTGCGTCAATGTGCCTACATGCGTTTATGGATTTGAGCTGTTTTTCGCCGACTAGCAGAGGACTCTTACGTAAGCCATTTCTGCAGCCTCAGTGCTCAGACAGCCTATGTTTTCCCTCTTCTTTTTTCCCAGAAACTAGATTTGTCTGACTGCCTGCCTCGCTCTCGCACAGACATGGTGACATTCTGTTCCACACTCCTGTGAAGACAGTACAGCGGCTACATTATGTTTTATTTGCAGTGGCTGGGCGCTATCCCCGAGTCAACCCGGGCCGCTGGAGAAATGTGACACGATTATAGCAGTGGGTACAGCTGAGGGTGCCACATGGAGAAAGATATAGGTCTCTCTTCCATTTGTTGTAACTGACCTTCACTTCTGGCATGATCTTTAGAATATTTATGTATTTAAAATGAATAAGCCCACACAGTAGTAGAAGTAGACAGTTTGGCTGGATACAGGTCTAAATCTAACATGGCATGGTCTAATTGAAAGCATGTACGCAATTCTAAGAAACATACTTTGACTGCAGTTTTTTTTTCTTTTCTATTTAAAGATAAAACATCAGAACATATGAAAAAGTAGAATTTGGATTGATAGATATTTTCTTCCCAATTCGTCACGTCATGGACATAGCTGAGGTGTTTTTCACTGTTTTTAGCTCATTGATAAGTTCTCATTTGATAATCTAGTTAATGATCGGGGAACCTTTGGAAAAATCGTCTTATAAAATCTAACTTGGACCTCGCTCTCAAAACTTTTTGGTTCCATCTCTGGTTCTAACATGCATGTTTTTTGGCCTTATCTTAAGATCCGGTTTTTAAAGCAGAAAAATGGAAAAGAGAAGACCTCCCTCACTCAGCCAATCAGCTCCCAGCCCAAAGTTTCAGACAGTGACTCGCATGGCTCTTTCTACAACAAAAGTCTTTTATAATAATACGTAGAGAGCATAGTTAGTTAGTGGTGTGATCTGCTAACTATACTTTATTTGTTAGTTAGTTTGGAGTCGTGTGTGTGACATCTGCATACTTGCATTTGGCCATTTGGAACATTGGCCCAGTTTCTTTTTGAGATTTCCATGCGTTTAATTCCAAACAGTTGCTACAGATATGACATAAATTTGACAGTTTAAGTGTTAGCTGAAACAAATGTGTCTTTTCTATCCGCCAACATTATTTCTTCTCTGACAACCGTCACAGAACTAAAAAAATATGACCAAAAGCATGAAATGTGTCGTTAAGTTAAAGGTTGCAGATACACACCTCATTCCGTTTCCCTCCACTAGTTGTTCCAACCTACTTTGGGCGTCACAGGTAGGCAGACGCTAACTTTGCGACAGATGCTCCTCCTCAGGGATCCCGAGTCTAAACAGAATGCTTCATCAAAGACAATAACAGAATTAAACATAAGAGTCGGAAGGGAAAGTAGGACAGCACGTTGTCACTTTAGCAGCAGCGGAAGAGCAGCATCCCCGGCTCTCAAACACTATGTGCATTTTATGTATTGTTTTATTCAGACCATGGGAGAAAAGCAGCTTTATGTCGCTGTAGAGACTTTGACAGATAGCAGAGAGAGAGACTTGTACTGTAAAGCGTTTAGGATTACATTATGCAATTGAATTATGATGTAAGGGGATGTGAAGAGGCTCACAGTACAATTGGAGATACTATAGAAGACAATATAAAAGAGATTGTTGGAATAAAAGCCAGTGACTCTGACTCTCACTTTGGACTTTATGACCTGAGGTGATTTGAAATTGTATTGAGACCATTTTCAATCATTGTAAGAAAATGATAAAAAACAAATACAAAGAAATTGGTCCACGGGCTTAAATATTGGAACAGTATCAGTATTTGTGGAGCTGTAATTGATTATGCATAACTAATGTAGTATAGCAATGGCTGTCTACTAATGATCCATTCATACTTTTTGAGCCTTACATACAGTAGACTTAACAATACGGAATGACAAGAATATGTTTCCCCTCAACAAATAAGGTACAGCTTACTTAGAGCTTTGGTTTTGATTTGTTTTTAAACGCCGTTGAAGCTTTATAGCAGTTGTTATTAGGTACTTCTCTGACAGTTTTAGATATTGTGCATTAGATCGATGACCCCGACCTCAGCCCGCATAGCATTATGGATTCGTGCAGCTAGCGTATAGCGATGAATCGTTGGGTAATGGTAAGAACACACTGTCGAGGTTAAAAACTCATAAAAATAATTTTACACAATGTCTCTTTTAATCTTATAACATCAAACTGCTTTTCACCCTCCATCCATTAAGAACTCTAGCACCTTCCTCAGATCCAGTATTGTAATGAAACACACTTGAGCAGTTTAACTTCCCTGGCCGGCTCTGCGACCTGGACATAACTCCCTTTACAGTATTCACGCACACATTTATACATCTACTGGAAGAGCAGGATGGAAGGGGATTTTAAAAGCTAATTACAGACGATAATACGTGTGCACAGACGACCGATCTCACACTCTGAAGGTTTTAACAGTTCAAACCAAGCCAGGTCCGTTCTCACCGTAATGTCCATTCTGTCGGCAAAGTGTGTAAAGAGGTATGAATTAATGATCGGTGAATCACATTTTTTTATTGCGGCGTTTAATAGTTATACGCGCTGTGCTGCTAATTCATAATAAGTACTTCGACCAGTCTTTCCATTGAGAAAAATATTAGTTAAGTCAGTGTGGCCAACAGCGTTATGAAAAGTCTCATTGCATTTGCCTTGTTTCAAAATATGTATTGTTGAATTTGTAAAAAGTCCTATCGTTGAAGTAAGAGTGTGCGGTATAGTTCTTCTTTTTCCTGATTTTTATGAAATACTGACATGCAATAACTGGGCTTGTGCAATCCCAAAGAGAGGGAAGTGAAAAGAGAAGTGGTGCGAACCTGATCATCCTGGCACCCCCAAATGAAAAAACATACACATATAGTAGAGAAGGAACAAAATGTGCCTGCTAGCTTTTTTGCTAGCTGAAAAACGGGTTCAGGACAATGGTTCAGGTGGGGAGTAAAGGCTGTTTAACATGTAGTTGAGAATCGACATTTTGTTTGGAATTAGATCAGTCCCTTATCATGTACTTTTTGAATAAAATAAATCAATCTTTATTTATAGAGCGCTTTTCCTGCACAGGGCATCTCACAGTCCACACCTCACCATTAAAGATACAATTTAAAAAAATGAAAACCTTAAAATCACACAAATAATTAACAACCATTAACACACAAAGATTTACAATAATAAATAACAAGGTGCGTTAAAAAGATAAAATTCTTCAGTTGTATGCACAGGCAAAAAAAAAAGTCTTTAACCTGGATTTGAACATCGACAAAGAGGCAGCCAGTCTCACGTCTTCAGGAAGACTGTTCCAGACCTTAGATGCAAGAATCTGAAAAGCAGCCTCTCCATGTCTAGTCCTGACTCTGGGCACTAACAGGAGTCCAGTCCCTGTGCTCCTCAGAGTCCCAGCAGTAGTCCAGTCCCTGTGCTCCTCAGAGTCCCAGCAGGAGGCCAGTCCCTGTGCTCCTCAGAGTCCCAGCAGTAGTCCAGTCCCTGTGCTCCTCAGAGTCCCAGCAGTAGTCCAGTCCCTGTGCTCCTCAAAGTCCCAGCAGTAGTCCAGTCCCTGTGCTCCTCAGAGTCCCAGCAGTAGTCCAGTCCCTGTGCTCCTCAGAGTCCCAGCAGTAGTCCAGTCCCTGTGCTCCTCAGAGTCCCAGCAGGAGTCCAGTCCCTGTGGTCCTCAGAGTCCCAGCAGGAGTCCAGTCCCTGTGGTCCTCAGAGTCCCAGCAGGAGTCCAGTCCCTGTGGTCCTCAGAGTCCCAGCAGGAGTCCAGTCCCTGTGCTCCTCAGAGTCCCAGCAGGAGTCCAGTCCCTGTGCTCCTCAGAGTCCCAGCAGGAGTCCAGTCCCTGTGCTCCTCAGAGTCCCAGCAGGAGTCCAGTCCCTGTGCTCCTCAGAGTCCGGGCAGAGCTGTGCTCTATTCTCTGAGCCACAGGACAAACATGAATCTAACTGCAAATAAAATGGTGGAAATTACAATAAGAGTCATGAGTCGTTATCGAAGAAGAACTCACTGACTTTGCTTTTATCTTTTAGTTCTTATTGAAACACTCAAAGAACAAAAACAAAAAATACAAAACCTACAAAATGGTTTTGTAAATGTTTTTTTGGGAGAGCCCAGAGGGAGCATTTGATGAATCAGCGAGACCCCAGTTTCTCTGCTGACTTAATTTAAATGGTTTTAACGTTGAAGAATATGGCAAGTTTATAGTTTATACACAAGGCTACTTAAAGTGCTTAACAAATCACACAAGGTATTGATATCATAAATAATCACAGTACATTAGAAAGGATACAGATAAAACCCCTCAGTTTTGTTTTAACCTTGATTTAAACATTCTCGCATTTTCAAGAAGACTGTTCCAGATTCTAGCTGCATGAATCTGAAATGCTGCCTCCCCATGTTTAGTTCTGCCTCTGAACACCAGCACGAGGCCACTCTATGTATTCATCCAAACCAACATGTTTTAATCAGCACTGGTCAAGTACAGCAACAGGCTTCGTCAAGTGTTGGAAGACTCAAAAATGTGGGATTATTCAAACATAAAAGAATCATTTGAGTTTAGACTAATGAAAGACATAATAATAAATCAATCATCTTCAAGTTGACCCTCAAAAGTGATCACCTCGAACTTCGCGTTTACTAATTCACCCACCATTCATTGCATCCCCAAATCCCCCTTTAATGGACTCCCTAAGTGGTAGATTTACGCCGCGCTCACTCCGCTCCAGTCTAAAAAACACGTCCATAGAGCTGCCCTTCTCCAGCGCACCTACCTCAGATTTATCACTTTAATTTGGCTGTGAACCCCAGCCCACCCCTCCCACACACTTCACTCCGCTCATTAAGCTAACTGGCATGTGGACGGGTGGGTGGCTAAAGCGCGCTGCGTATATATATACACCCCAAATTCCTCCTGTGACCCCCAGACGCGAGCAGAGGTCCTTCAAACGTATATGCGCTGCTCCCCTCAACAATTTATGCCAGCAGCCAGGGGCACGGCCTGCTGTAAAACCCTATCCGGGGCCTATTTAGCGGGCGGGCTGGAGGAGATGGGGGCCCCCCACACCAAACGTCTTGAGGGGCCAACTTGATTTACTACTAATTGCTTACTGTATAGTTTACGACGCGGCTAACTTGACTTTCCAGACCATTGGCCGCTGTAGCCGATCTCGCGCAGGCTTAAATAACTGTAAGGGTGGCTTAAATAACTGTAAGGGTGGCGTGGAGGTCACAAAGAGGATGCAGACTTTTAAAAGGCAGGTTTTCATTCTTAACGGGTACATCTGGAAAGGGCGACAGGAGCAGCGCAAACCGGTGATTGACTTGTGAATTTATAGCGGGTCGTGTGTAACCAAGGTGAGAATGTGTTATGTTTTAAGTAATCAGTCATAATGTGCTATGACATGCCTGGGTTATTACATGTTGTGACTGTTTGGGCAACAGTGGCTCAGTTGGTAGAGCATTGGCCTTTGAGCCTGACCGCGAGACGTTCTCCACCGACTCACACTGATGCCTGCTGTCGTTGTGTCCTTGGGCAAGACACTTAACCCACTTTGCCCATAAGGAGCGCGGAAGTAATGTCCGCTGCATGCCTTGATGTGTGTATGTATGCATCAAACTGACATTTTCAGACTCACTTCTTTTGAGTGTGAAAATTGACCGGAAAAGGTTTAGGAAAATATCTTTATCAGCAAATGTTTAGGGTTTTATTGTGGAGAAACCCATCAGAGCCTCAGAGTTCAGTCTGTGTGGCCAATACATTTTAAACATGAAAACCCTGCCATGGCTGCTTTCTCTGAGAATAACCATCACTCAAACATGCATGAAACACTCGACAAGTGAGGAGACAAAGCTGGGAGAAAGCAAGATTAGAAGCAAGTTATTGTACTCAAAACAATTTCAGTGTAGTCAACCAATTGTTTGAAGTTGAATCAAGTCAAACAATGTTACAACGTTATCAACATTTATGGACTTTGGTCATTTGCCCCTCATGGTATAGCCCCAAATCACAACAGCATCATCTCAGAGACTTAACAAAACCATTGAAATCACCAACACAGATCAGAGATTCAACAGTTAAAACACAAAAAGAGTATAGAACACATGTTGATAAATGTCAGTACATGTTGTAATGTAGAATGTTAAAGTGTCCTAGATCACCACCTTTGATTCTCTAATCTGTGTTGGAATATTCAACGTTTTTGTAAAGTCCTCCCAGAAAACTGTTGTGCTTTAGGGCTATACAACAATTGAAATGAACAATGCCATTAGAATGTTATGTTTTAGCAATAGTGTTGAGCTGTAATTCATTTATTCTGAATGTATATACAGTATGGTTCATGCAAAATAATCCGAAATACAGTTGGAAAAGGGGTTGGACGAAGCAGAGGCATTTTTGGCTCCAACCCTTCACACTCACTTAGACATGACACAGACCCAAACACTCTCTGATCTACACCTCTCTCCCATTACACACTTTGTGCTAAGGACATCACTCGCTCTTGTTCTTTCGTAAAACATTTTTTTAATTGGATCGTGTTTTTAAATCATCCTCAAAGTTTGCCTTCCAAATTGCCTTGTCTTCGTCTGTAATGTTTCGCACGCCCTGCTCTAAAACAAACTGGATTAAACGATAGACTGGTTGAAAATGGCCGAATAAAGCTTAGTTAATTAGTTTACTTTATTGTTCTGTAGGAAGATGTGTCTTCTGCATTAGTCCCATCCTGCAAAGCCTCTAGGGCGTCTATCAGGAGCAGTGGTCGCCATAGCGCCCAGGGACCCATCTCCAGATAGATAGATAGATTGATAGATACTTTATTGATCCCTCGTAGGAGAAATTCTGGATGTTGATGCTCGGCTTGGTCAGGACTACCGGGATGCTGGATTTTGTCTATTGTACATGTTTTATTTTTTTTTGCTGAAACTGGAGCAGACACAGGGAGAACATGCAAACGCCACTCAGAAAGGCCCTGTTCTGGGATCCAAAACCCAGGACCTTCTTGCTGAGTGCTATTGACTCAACCATTGTGCTGCTTTGTTCATGACCCAGCAGATGGACATGCAAACATGACTGGAAAAACTCTGCACAAAGCGTTTTGTGAGGGGGGCTGAGCTGGCCGAGTTTATGATAAAAGAATTCAGATATTAGCCCTGATCAAGCTATAATAAGGACAGCTGCACACGGTTACATGTACATTATACATGACTGTTAAACTATGGGTACTCTTGTGGTCACACTAGCCCATTCTTTTTTCTGATTTATTTGAAATTCATTTTATGACTTTGGCAAAAAATCTAGGAACATACCATCCTCGCCACAGACCAACACATGCACTCTCCAGCTGCATCTCTTTGCTTGATTCACAAGTGCACAACTGCTAACACTTGTGGAGCAGATGTAAACACGCACGCATCGATACAAGTTGTTTTCCTTCGTTCTTTTGTTTTTTTGTGTGTTTTTTTGAGCCTTTCGCTTTTTTCCCCTGCCAAAGGTCGGCCTGTACTTTGGCACATTCAACCGGGGCTTATGACACCTCGGAGGGAACATCGCACACAATGAAAACAGGAAGTGGATTTTTAGATGGTGGTAGAGGAAAGGAGAGACACAGCGATTTAAAAAAAAAAAAGTTAAATGGAGAACAGACATGGGCAGCGCGGTTTAGCAAGCACCCGCGACTCAGAGCGGAAGGAACGGCGCGTGCTGTACTGTACACGCAGGCGGAAAGCAGAAGCCAGGGATTACGCAACGCCTTATGCAAAAAATGGAAATGCAACTCACTGTAAGGTCTGAAGACACTTACACAAATGAAGGCAAAAAAATCATTATGAAAACTGCTAAAAATATATCAAAATGAACCATACGAGAAAAAATATAATTGATTTTTAAAAGGCAGCATGCTGATTTGTTTGATATATATTTTTAAGTATTATTATGATCTTTCTTGCCATCAATTTCAACCAATTTTAGTTGATCCTGAGACCATTTTGCTGGATTGGCCCAAGTTACCATGATAACATAACTTTTTACTGCAACTGTTTTTTCATATCATTATGTAACCAATCTGCTGTACTGACATAACATGGGCATTTTTCTTTTTTATTTGGTGCTTTTCAACCAAAAAATAACAAATAAAATCTATTTCAGGTTTGAATGAAGTAATGTGTCCTTCTTGAGCAGGCCTGCTTCTGTTTCTATCTCAATATGGCATTAAATATGTACAGTATATGATTTTAATTCACAGTCTGCCATAGAATCTTTCAGGTGAGGTTCTAAATGCAGAAAGCCAATGGCAAAGACCATATCTGTAAATGTGTATAGATCCCACCCAAGAATGAACTGATGGGTATTTTATTTTGTTTATTTTCTTGTAATCTGGTAGTTTCTTTTTTCTTTTCTTTTTTATTCCAACAAAGATACAATACAAAATTCAAAACAAACAGGTAAATTCTGCTCCCTGATCCCCCATCCCCATTTTGAGGGTGCCAACCCAAGGACACTTCTCAACTGTCCTGATTCCTACAACTCTGTTCAAGTGTTTGTTTCCTTTTTTTTTTTTTTTTTTTGAGGAGGTAATCTGGTAGTTTCTAGTTATACATGTATTCTAGTTATACAATTTTTTCTTATGATGCAATTTACCCTCCCTCTTTTTTCCCTGCCTGTTTTAATACTTCTTCTTTAGTGCAATAAGGTCCAAGGTTTAAAAAAAAAAAAAAAAGACATTAATATGAATCTTAGAAACAAATATTTTACCAACCACCTTTCTTCCAACTCAACTTTCCCAATTCATCCTATTAATTAAAACTCACAAAACAATGTTTGCATTCTCAGAATCAAATCAACCATATACCGTCTCTGCAGCGGCGTGATACCGAGCGGCTCATCTTTTTCTGTCCGCCGCGGTCAGAGAAAATTTGGAAGAAGCAGCCTGCCGCCTTAGGGTCCGATCCCAGCAGAGAAAACAGCGGCCCTAAATCAGAGAGTAATTGCAGTGATTGTAAAAGTGGTGTGGTGAGGCCGCGGGCTGCACAGCTGGAGCCCGCCACTTAAACAGGTTCTGGGAGTCGAGGAAAATTGGACAAAGCTTTAGGGATAAACTTTACTGTCACTTTAGCTCGGGTGCTTTTTCTTTTGTCTCCTCCGTTTATCGTTTGCGCTCACTGCTTTTCAAAGACAGAAATAAAAAGTCTGGTATCATTGCGTTGTTGGCCAAGGGTGTTCAATTATACTTTTGTGGAAGCGAGCCAGAGCCATCGTCAATGTTATACAGTCGCTCTGAAATATTGACAACTCTCATCTACAATAACAAAGCGTCTTTTAGTCCTCTAGTTTATCATACATGTTTCAAACAATAAGAAGGGATGTACCCGTTGAAGTAAAAAAAAAAAAAAAATCGGGATCTTTTCAGGCAATGGTCACATGTTTCCCCAACAGAAAGACACAAATCAGACCACATGTACAAAACCAAAGTTATCGTTTACATATGTGGCAGGTGCCTGAATGGATAGCACTCTCAGGTCAAATTTTCATACGGGAACAATAAAGTATAAGTAACTGACTTGTAAGAAAGAGCCCTCTGAGTCACAATTTGACGCTGTGGGCTGAGAGCTCACTTCTCTGCCTGAAAAAGATGTGCATGTGAAACTTGCAATAGAACTGTTCTGAGAGCGAGTTTGATGGATTTTATTACATACAATACTAACGGCTTGTTAACCGAGCAAGCCAGGTTAATAAATGTTTTATTATATGACTATTTTTAATTTATGCAAATATCGATTGGTTTTAACTAAAAACACATTTGACCAAACTGTCAAACTGTTAAGAACTGATCAGAGGATTGAGGCGCCCGCTGTAAGTTCTCAGTCTGTGTCTTTACCAATGCTTTTTACGTATTTGTGATGTTCATGTCCGACTTGGTTTTCCTGATTGTGTTTTTACCTTTCTGATCTGTAACGAAGTTGTCGATCTCTTCTTGACTGTGAGGAGTTGTGTTTTCGTCGTTATTTGCTGTTATTACTTCCTCTGGCTCTTCAAACTCACCCGGATAATAGAATTCACTGAGAATGCTCCCAGTCGTCGCCCATTATTTATTTTTTACCGAGGAAAGATATCAAATCTGATACGCGCTGCAGACCAATTGTCATGGTAACGGTCCGAGATGGGAAAATATCAGACCGCAAATCAGCCAATCAGAGCGCGCGTACGATCCAAGTCATATAATAAAATGGTGTAAGTCAGGTACTCCAACTTTGAAACAGAACATGACAGAGACTTCTATATTCAGGGGTGTCTAGCTGTAAGAAAATGAATCAAAGACTATGGAAAACAATTTCAACAGTAGCTAAACAACTAATGGTCAATCTGCATTAAGATCAGTGTCTCTTGGTAGTTGAGTTGTTCCTCGCCGATGCAGCAGGGACCAAGGACAGTAGTGATGATCCGAAAACTCTGAATTCAACGACATTATGGGCTTCATCAGCATTTATGGACATTGGTCACATCCCACTATATGGACCAATGGCTCTATGTGTTTTTATCTTTCTTGTGTTTGAAGTGTTTGATTCTCTGGTCTGTGTCAAAGTCTCCATACATTCACACACACATTTCAGTGGAACACAATTGCTGCTATGATTAGCCACGACCCAGCTCCACATTAATTCCTTATCTGTGGCGTCGGCGTATGGTGCGGCCGTGTCAAACGCACAGCGGAACATATGGTAGCATTAGCAGCAGAAGCAGCCACTTAACCTTGGAGAAGCGAGCGTGTTGTGCGCCTTGTCTGTGATATGCTCCGCCGTGGCCCCCGCTCATTTGCACGCAGGCGGGGCTCCTGTGAACCGCGCTATCATCAACATCACATAATGAGTGCTTTTACGTGTCATCAGTCCCAGACACGTGCTTTTTGTTCCGCAGATTGGAGCTCAAAGTGGAATATATGACCCCACATAATCATGATTGTCTTTGCATATAGTGTGGTCTGCCTGCGCTGTCTGGTTTCAAAGTGAACGTCTGTAATAATCAAATGAATGTTATCTTTAAAGATGTGTGACCCGGCCCCAGCTCTATAATGTTAAAGGAGACATATGCAAAAATCAACTTGCATCAAGTCTGAACAAGTCTGAACAAGTTGTTCTAGAGCTGTGATAATGGGGTAAAAACATATGCATGCCGGTTGGTACGTGCTTGGTCTGGTTGGATTTTAAGTGTCATTGGGAGTTTTAATTGCGCTAATTTTTACTGTCTTTGTTCAGCTTCAAAATCTGGTACCTCAGCTTTGGGACGAATACATTGTTTTCATACAGAAACATGGATTCTGAGTTGGTTAAAGGCGTGGTTTGGGCGATTAAGGGATCGAACTCATTCACAAAAATATCACGTGACACAGTATTTTGGTCAACATCACTAATAACACATGTTGTTCTGGTTACAGCTGGAGAGAAGGCCATCGTGTGCGACCAGTGTGGGGCCCAGTTCCAGACCGAGGAGTCCCTTGAGGCGCATCGGCAGATCCATACCGGTAAGAAGCACACGACCACAACGCCATCACAGTGTTATCCATGGGTGCGAGGTTCAGCCAACGGCCGCACTGGATGAGGGATGAGGGCTACTGCTGTGAATTAGTTTGGCCCAAACAATATGGTTGCGATTGGAAATGTGTTCATTATGGTGGGATTCAAGCCATTTTTGATTCTGCCCTTCTCTAGTTTCGTTCAGTGTTGGCCTGGGATGTGTCCTGTGAAAGACCTGTTGTTGGCTAATACTGTTTTTTTGTCTCTCGAAATGCATTGTTGTTTTATTGGAGACTACTTTTCATGATTCTGAGTTTAAAGAGGTTTGTCACAACGCTGGGCTGGGTGCCTTTTAGAGCCCGCCAATACAACACATATCTAGAAACAGGGGACTTTTTAATGTAAATGATATATTTTTAAGCAATAACATACAGGTCAGTGAAAAATCAAATTGAACAAAAAGACATAATTTTTGCTTTATTGAAGTCAAAATATCAAACCCTTTTTTTAAAACAAACAAAAGAATAAATATATGGAACACCCCTAGTTAGGAGAACGCTGGGTACTAGAGCAAGCAACTACAACTTGCACCCAATTTTCACATTCCAAAAATATGGTTTTTGCTTGGTTCATGCCCAGTTGGTATGTTTTACTACTTCAAATCTGAATAAGTCATAGAAAAAAACTGGTCAGTCGACTTCAACGTTGAATTCCTCACAAAAGGTAAGGCCGAGGCTGTCCAAAACTCAATGTCAAAGCAGTATTGCATGGTAAGCACACTAGACAGAGGAACGCCGCGTGCATTTATCTCGCCCGGAGTCCAAGGCCCTCTGAAAAGTCCCTCCCTTGGGAAACATAAGTTAAATTTCCCTGTGCGTCTGTGTGTGTTGGGAGGGGGGGGTCCAGGTGCCAAGATGTGCAAATGGGAGAGCGGCAAATCCCAGTGAGCAGATGTGAAGCAGAGAACAGCAGCTCCAGCTTAATTTGGGAGAGGATTGTCGATTGGCCCGTTCAGGAGAAAAAAAAGCCGTGGGGAGATTGATGTGAGCGTATGAATGGGGAGCTACAGATGTGCAGTTAGGGATAAAAGCAGTACGCATCGTTCTTGATTGGAATGTACCAAAAAAAGACATGACTTAACGGCTTTGCGTATTTGTCGGTGGGAAAGTTGAAATTAAGTCTATTTGGGCATGTGTTTTTCGCATTTTTGGGATTAAATGGTTTATATCAGTTCGTAATTCCATGAAAAGTCTATTCACCTTAATCCGCAAGTGGCCGCAAATTGAGAGTGTTGTTGTTTGTATTAGCTCATGATAATAATGAGCCAAGTTGGGATGAGACAGTATGAAATTGCTATTATTATCAAGATTATTATTATCAAATCACAACAGTATAATCGGTGCTATGTAGACAATTTCAATGGATTTTTGTGCAGACCTAAATCACAACAGGAGTTACCTCAAAGGACTTTACAAATTTGCCAACACAGATCATAGAATAATAAAATAAAATAATAAATAGAGCCATTGGTCCATAATGTTGATAAATATGTTTGAATGTTGAGTGTCCCGTCTACATCGGCAAGGAAGACGTCATATTTATAATAAACTAAGGACTTCTTCTGAACCATGAAAAGTACTTACTGCTCCATTTTTTTCCCCGTCTGCTTCATAAGTAGTAGAACTTTGACGTGAGCTCTTGAATCCAGGCCTGTTCCTACTCAGCGACCTTCACAAAACTATTTCCCTATATTTTTTTGGATTTCGTTCTGTTATGGATTTTAGTTGTCCTCCATCTCTTAGTTTCAGGGCCCTATCTTTTGTCATTTCATATCACGTTTTTGTAAAATCTTTGCCACCTAAAGGCTTAATATCACTCTATACCTGGTCCCATCCTTGATACTGATTTATATGATGTTTACAAAGTATTTTTAATCAAACAACCCAATGTGCACCCAGTCATCTCTTCTCCAAACGGCATCACTCATGGTCTAGTGTATCAAATGTCCCATATTCACGGACCCAGCAGGATTTAAACAACTAATCGACTTATCAAAAGCATCCCTTGACCCATGGATTATAGATTATAACCTACAAAGCTGACAAAGTTACCACCTTTTTTGAAAAATGAAACTATCATTCAGGTTGTATTTTCAACGTTTCATTCCACACCAATCCAAATTCCATTCCCAGCTTAAAAAACCATCTCCAAACTTGTGTCCACCCTCATCTATCAGGGGTCATCATCACTTACCCCTGCCCCATCACTCCGAATGACCCCCAGCGCCATCACATCATCGACCCCATCCAAAATAAGCACCTCCTCATCCTCGGCCCTCATTAGCCCCAGCCCCGCCACAGCGCCATCGCCCTTCGCTCGGACTATAGCGCGCATTAACCCTGGAGCGGGCAGTAGCGACCAGAGTGCCCCACGCTTTTCACACCACCAACATGAGCACTCGCAGAGGGGGTAAGGCGAGGGTTAAATAAGGCTAATGATCCAGCAGTCATAACAGCAGAAAGCAGGGGGATAAATATAGCACAGGACCAATGGGAGTGTAGAAATAGTTGAGGATGATTGTTAATCATCCTCAAAGCTGGGATACCTAACTTTCAAAGACATTTTATTGTTGTTTGTCCCAACGGTAAGATTTCTTTCAAAGTAAAATGTTGTGAACAAATCAGACCACACTATGCTGTCGTCATCTTTGTAGAAAAAACAGGCTGTATTTTGCTAACTTATAGGAGACAGCTCTTTGGACTGAGAGCTGATTGGCTGAGTGAGGGTGGTCCTGTCTTTTTTACCTTTCTTGTGAAAATGCTGATCCAGAGATGTGACTGTGGCCAGAAATAGAAGCATGTGGAAACTAGTGATTCAGCCAAACTGTTTTGAGAGTGAGGAACTAGTTACTACATACAGTGCCTTGCGAAAGTATTCGCCCCCCTTGAACCTTTCAACATTTCGCCACATTTCAGGCTTCAAACATAAAGATATAAAAAAATGTTTTTTTGTCAAGAATCAACAACTTGTGGCAAACTTTAAACAAGACTTTTTATGGATTTCTTTGAGAAATGGCTTTCTTCTTGCCACTCTTCCATAAAGGCCAGATTTGTGCAGTGCACGACTGATTGTTGTCCTATGGACAGACTCTCCCACCTCAGCTGTAGTTATCTGCAGTTCATCCAGAGTGATCATGGGCCTCTTGGCTGCATCTCTGATCAGTCTTCTCCTTGTTTGAGATGAAAGTTTGGAGGGACGGCCGGGTCTTGGTAGATTTGCAGTGGTCTGATACTCCTTCCATTTCAATATAATTGCTTGCACAGTGCTCCTTGAGATGTTTAAAGCTTGGGAAATCTTTTTGTATCCAAATCCGGCTTTAAACTTCTCCACAACAGTATCTCGGACCTGCCTGGTGTGTTCCTTTGTCTTCATGGTTCTCTCTGCGCTGTAAACAAAACCCTGAGACTATCAATTTTATATCTTTATGTTTGAAGCCTGAAATGTGGCGAAATGTTGAAAGGTTCAAGGGGGCCAAATACTTTCGCAAGGCACTGTATTTGCATCTTTTGCAGTTTGAAAAATGGGTACCCCTGCGTTTACAATACAAGAAGACACATCAAACATTATCTTTAAGAATCTCTGAGGGCCAGCGGCAAAAGGGTCACAGTTATCTCTTTTTTAAATACTTTATTCTGTCTTCATTTGGCACAGTGAATGTACAGACTTTGTAAGAAAATAACAATATATTTTCTTGTTACATATGTATGCTACAGTTAAGTGCATATACACGTATACATTTTTAAGGCACCCATGTGAAATGTGTCATAAATTACAACAAAAAAAGATAGAATAAAAATAAATAAGAATAAATAAATAAAAAAGCAAAAAAACACAAACAAATATGAACCAATAAAGAAAAATTAGTAAACAAAATAAAAATAAAAGGCAAAATGAATATGCAAAAAAAAAATACATAAAAGAAAAATAGAGTTACAGTATGTGAAAACATCCATATTGTTAAGTCTATCATGTTATCCTATTTATCATGTTCTCATTTTTGTTATGATTGAAATGTATTTATATATGATGACCATCTTTTGAACACAACATTTTCATATATGTTTAGATGACTACATTTCCTTTTTTCTCTGTTGTATATTTGCATAATGAGTTCATGTCAAGCCGCTGTAGTGGGAATTTCTGTTTTTTTCCAACATTTTGTTAATTGTTTAATTGCTGTTATTCTTAGAGTCCAAAAGATGTAATAGTATTTTACCTCCAGACAGTATTTTTTTAATACCAAGCAAGAGGTATTTTGGTTTCAAGCTAATATTTTGTCCACAGGTATGTTTGATAATTTGTATAACCCTAGTTCGGACAATTTAAAGTAATTAGATCAAGACGCCATTGCTCTGAGCATTCCCACCTCCAGAACACATCCACTGATCTTAACTTTGCAGATCCCTCCTCCCTCTATGAATAACAAATCATTTACCATACGCTGTCTTCTTTACATGTATACGCTGTCTTCTTTACATGTATACGCTGTCTTCTTTACATCCAACTTTGCTCCATTGAAATGTTTACACATCGAGTCACACAAAGCCGGCATCCTCATTACAACACCGCACTATAGCCGCTCTTTAAACGACACAAATTGCCGACTTAACACCGCGCTAACCCCAGATGTATAATAGCGCCTTATAGACTACGCCCTCCGCTCGCGACTCTCCAGATGGCTCTTTTAAGTAGTAAAAATATGTCATGACTTTTACTGCTCGACATTAGCGCACTGTGTAATAACTAGCCGAGCCTGACCCGCTAAAGCGACAGTCAAGCGAACAGGCGCTTAAATACAGAGGGACGCATATGGAGCGGCTCGTTTAAAGAAGTTTATGGAAAATGGGCATATGTAATAATTGGATATGAAGTTGTCTCTGACCAGGCTCACTTTAAAGTCACTATGAAGCACCAAGATGTAAGCTAACTGTTATAGATCCTAAAACTC